TAAAGTATTATAAATATTAAGTATTAGAATAAACATTAAAAAAATTTAAAAATGTTGACATGTTTTTTTTTAATATAATTATATTGATATTTTTTTATAAACTTATATATAAATTATTTCTTTTTAAATGTATTTATTTCTAAAATACCAGTATATATAATATTAAAATAAGAAAGAAAACTACTTACAAATTCATCACTTATAATTTAGACATAGTTTTGGGCCATATTTACTTATAAACGCAGTGTTTCTATTTCATAGAAAATACAGAATAACAGTTAAACGTTGATTACCAGATAGACAATGGTGACCGTAATTGGTTCACGATAAACTGAGTTATAATTTATGTGTCGATTCTATCGAGTTATGAGATTTCTCGTCGATAAAGTATTGAACGATGTAAATTTTCTAAAAATAAATTGAATTAGACTAAAAGATATGAACGTACCATGAAGTTGATGTGAAAAACTGCATATGGAATCTAAAAAAGTTGTCTACTGGTGTTAAATATATCAATTCACACTGTCACTACACACCCTGAAAAGCATGGCCAAAGAATCCCAAAATCGTATTAAGATATAGCTGATTTAAAAGTTGGTTCTACGGTAGTAGTCTTTTAAAAAGTTTTATAAAAATAACATCTTCGTAATTATTAATCACAACAAACAGACAGTATGCAGATAAAATGAGACGGTTGAGATTGAAAATTAAGACAGTACAGGTATACGATAAAACATGTATGTGCGTCTTAGGTTAAAACACGACTAATTTGAATTTTTTCTGTGGACTATAGCGTGTGTGTTGTACCAATTATTTAACCAGCATCAACCAGTTGAATTCCTTATATGAACTTATTTGTATTAATAATGTGTAAAAATATAATGTGTAATAATATGTAAAAAATATGTTAATCATAGGAAAACTACTCTTGATATAGAAATATTACCAAATATAATAATCCAATATCATATATATTTTTCTTGTATTATGTGTATAAATTAATAATTTTAAATAATTAATTAAGTATGAAAAAATTATTTAAATTTGAACACGCAAAAAAAAACAATCTATGTGCAGTGTATTTTTTTAATGTTCGTTTATTTCAAATCAAAAATGTAACGATTAAACTCACAAGTTTTTGGGCAACACAAAAATAAATAACGATTCAGTTAGTTTTTCCATCACAAACCGAACGTTAAATTTAACGTGATCCTAATATGGTGGAACCTATACTGAACATCAACTGTTGAAAATTATCTCTACATTATAGCTCACTTCATCGTACAATCAATTTAAAATATGAACATTCATAGTCTACTTCGCTATAATTAAGTATAGACATATTATTAACTGTGGACATTCAATGCGCATGACTAAAATTGAGTTACCTAAACTTTAAATATTGTTTTATTTGCAATAATTATGTTGCAATTTATGACAGTGAAGAGTAATACGTTTAATTTTTATTCTAATTAAATAAATATTAATGTTTATATAATTAAATAATAGTAAAAACGAACTATAAATGTTATGTATAAACTTTAGTGAGCAAGCAGTTTATGTTTTAAAATTCTGTTTTTTTTTTTTTATAAAAAATATTTTTTAGTAAAACATTGTTTTTTTTATTTATTATAAATCCAAATAAATCAACTTATCTATCTATATTATCTACTTTTACGCATAAATGGATTGAATTAAATTTGTTAATGTCATTCGATCAGCAATCAGGTGTAACAATTTAAAATGCAAAATTAATATTTATAATATATTACCAATAAAAAAACACTGCAATTAGACGTGTACCTATTATTTTTTTAAAACAAAATCATCAAAAATTAAATCGGTTTTAGCAAAACGTTCATGGTTGTGCAATGTCTAATGATAACATTTTAATACCAGGTGATCATAAGAATAAAATGACACGTATAATACAATAGGTGTGAATCAATTTAAAACACTAAAATTCACCATTTATCCAGGATAAAAAGTAAACACGCAATATGGTATACAGCTTAATTAAGTCATCCCTGTGAAGATCACAACATCTTTTGTATTGTGTTGTTTTATTGTTTAAGAACTCTTGAGCTCGTCAAGAACCTCATTATAATACTTATAATATCTGCTCCCGATTATGTGGCGGCCAAAGTGCGTCGGTAACTATTCGTGCGTATATTTTGGAGTGTCTGTACGCACATCACGTCTCATTGTGCCCATCTCTCATTTCTACACTAATCCTGTAATTCTTCCTATTACCTACAACGAAAATGGTAATCTTGCTATTGTTTTACCACACACCGTTCCGTGTACGTGACCGTTCTCGTTCGTATCGCGTCTATCGTCTATAATCGTTTGTATACACAACAAATTCATTATAAATCTTGCCCGTATATATATATGTATATTGTCTTCCTTTGAAGACCATTGTTCGTTTATCGATGGCAATCCGTAATCTTGATAACGGGCGTTGTTTGTATGACTTCGTTCACTCGAGGTGGTTCAATGTGTTGTGGTACAACGTCTCAAGGGTGCACCGTTTAATGTAATGCAATAATGATAAATACGACCGAGAACTTTTACACCGTTATCGAATGCAGTTACGCGCACGATTCACCGGAAACAGGATGAAATATCGAAGATCAACAGAAACGTGAAATGTGCACAGCACATTCGTCTTTGACGCGAGCATGTGACTACACGATTTTCGGTGAGTACCACAAATATAATAACTGCCGTCGATTAGGTGCCCTTTAGTCGAACGACAGTAATTAATGTATCGTTTATTTTTTGTATCGTCACATATGAATTTAAATCGTCTTGGAACATAAATATTATTAATCCGTTTTAAAATCTGTTTATTCGTACATGGATAGTACTTATGGCAATTTGTGTTTTGTTTAAAAGTTCAATGTAAGTGGTAATTTTTATTATGTTCAGGCTATTGGTTTTACAAGTGATTATCATATGTATAAAAATGAATTATTATTAGTAAACATTTACTATTTATTTCGAATTAAAAAAAATTATATACATTTTAGAAATTTAATTCGCATTTATGCGTTCGGAGGTCTAAAAAATCACT